AAAAATCAGTTAAAATAGTTACATTTGCCCCCCCTCCAGCCCACGGCCCCCCATAGTTTCGGCTCAAGCTCCGCCACTGCATGCAAGGAGAGAAGAGTAAGCATGATCGACCATAGCTTAGTCACGGGCGCGCATCACTGGTTTGACCACGTGCATAGTATGTGCAGGAAGGACGTGCGTGGCCGAGGTGACCACGTACATGGTTCATGCGATGAACGACGTATGCACATGCACGCAGCTACGCGGAATTAAAGTAACGGAAAAGGCTCCTTCGCATCTAAAGTAACACATTATTAGGCAGGATAAAAAATCACAACATGACTAAGATAGTTTATCATGCAGATTTTATTTTCATCTAATTGAGTGTCAGTCACACCCTTTATCATATGGTCCTTCAAATTCAGTGTTGCTCATCATGAACTGCAGAGTGACCAGGATGCTTGTTCAAAATATCTTTTGAAATCATTTAAAATACTATAGATTAAATCAATTAACCATGCATTGCTGAAATAACCATTCCCCAAAGTCTTTCACTCTAATATTTTTCATTCTTCTCCGCTGTTCGTCTGCATCCATCACCAACCATCTAAAATAACGTTTCACGACGCACACAAAAGAACACCGGCCTAACGCTGATGCTACTGCCACCACCTCCTACTTGTAGCCAAGATCTACCTGGCGCTAATGATCAATTAAATATAGTGATCCATGGAAACCAAGGGATACGGTCGATGCTTGGTCGCAGAGAAGAGAGCAATATGCATCTCAATACGTCCACTCGTGCGGGAGATTGACCTTGCAGGCCTGGAATGCGCAGCGGTGGCGTTGACATAGTGCTCGCACTTCTGGCTGGCCTGCATCGCGTTGCTCCGTCTGACCAGTGCGTCTGTGAGACAAAAGGAATTCGAAATATAGCTATTCATAACCACAAAGAAAGGTATCATTGAAATTGCTAGTGCGTAATGAGAAGGAATTGATTACCATGATCAAGAAGGAAGGCCCCGGGATAGCAAGGACTGAAGGACGGGCACCGAGGTCCTCGACATTGAGATTCATATCCTGCATGACGGACGACGCGCGCGAGATAGGAGAAGAACCATAGAGGCAGGCGCAGCTTGTTGATGATGTTCATGACGCCGCTAAGCTCGCGCCCGTTCAGCCTGCAGACGGGTTGCCGTCCCGTGTCGTCCAATCGTACTCATGATCGAACGCCGCGAGCCGCCTCCCTCCTCGACCTCCTGCCCACCCAGATTCCATCCATCGTTGGAGAAACTATCCGGACCACGCTAGCGGCGGCTGCGCCAAAAAGCCGCTCCATGGCATGGAGCGCGCGGTTGCGGTGCCTCTGTGGATTTCCTTGCTGATCGGCCGCGGCGGCATGACGACCTTGAAGTTCTAGCTGCACCCGTACATGCTCTGGATCACGCGACAACGCCTCCATTGGCCTGCCCCACGTTCTGCTACGTGCGCAATGTGCTTGTCGGGTGCATGG